TGTACTTGTACTTGTACTTGTACTCGTACTTGTACTTGTACTTGTACTTGTACTTGTACTTGTACTTGTACTTGTACTTGTACTTGTACTTGTACTTGTAGTAGTAGTAGTAGTAGTAGTAGTAGTAGTAGTACTTGTAGTACTTGTAGCACCTGTAGTAGTAGTCGTCGTCGTGGTGGTGGTGGTGGTGGTAGTAGTAGTAGTAGTAGTAGTAGTAGTAGTATTAGCAATAGTAGCAGCAGCAGATAGTAGTAGTCGTCGTCAGAGTAGGCGGTGAATCCAACGGAAATGCAGTCCGGCCGCGCAACAGATGCTTAAAACCTCTTTTGGCAAGTCATGCGCTTGCTAGGTGACTTCGGAAGGGGGCATAAATCCCAGGCAAAACAGAAGACGGACAAACCCCAAACTCTAGACCAAACCAGGCCCAACCATCAATGATTTCAGCTCCTTTACATTTACGATGCCGTCCCGTTCCGATTCCTGTGGCACTTCCGGCAGCGCCAATCACGTCCACAGCTCCCTCGAGGAACTTGATCAAGTACCTTGGGAGGGGCTGAGAGTTCATACCCGGCCAACACGCAGCCGATGTAACGCTGTATGGTGTCGCCGTCCCCCGTTTCTCGAGAGTCCCTGTCCGAGCTGAAGAACATTACAAACAGAATGAGAAGATAATGCTCTACTGTATAAGACACCCTGGAATCTAAACCCGAGCGCTGTTACGAGCATCGGGGTGTGTGGGCGGGGTCGGCGGGGGGGGCAAGTCGAGCCTCGACTCTTGTTGGACCTTGTGGGAACAGAGTCGGAGACTCATCATTGAGGGATCAGGTGCATGTTTGTTGAGTCATTCAGTTCAGGCGTCTATAGGTGTTAAGCTTTAGGGTCACCCACCCAATCTTCATTGTTGTGCACAATGGCAAATGCCTACCTAATCGCACAAGACGGACAAGAGGAGATTACAATTTCCATGATGCGTGGTCGTGGTCGTAAAACAGTGACCTGACATGATCTCTTTTTAGAATTAGGGGTACCTTGCTTATCCATATATGAAGGATCTGACTAGTTTGGCTCTACAATCTCTACATAAAGGCCCCTTATTTGATGAAAGTCCCACATAACAGTTGGACCATCAACCGACAGAATTCTGCCATTCATGGAGAGTTTACGGTTCAGGGCCCCACTCTTATAACACAACAAGCGAGCTGCGCTCTCGAAGCCACACCGCAGCCTTGTTGAACCTCCAAAAGCCCCTTGCATGATCATGTAGGCTCACGTTGAAGCTATATATATATATATGTATATATATATATATAAGATACATATACTCACACATGCTTCTCATTCCTTCAACGGTTGTTTATACATTATTTCATCAACCTGCAGAGCCAACCCGGCGCACTCTTTGGGACGCCGCCCCAACGACGAGAAGAATGCGGACCTCGGTGCACGTGGCACAAAAACTTTTGGGAAGTGCTATCAGAAAGATGGGAGTCAAGCCTCTAAAAGGCCCAAGACTAACCCCCAAAGCCAAAAACAATCAAATGGTGCTGCGTTCGAGGCTTTCGGGTCATGCCCTACAGAGACGACAATGAAGAATGTGGGGTGGCAGGCGCTAGTAATGCAGACAGACGATTTTCGCACCCAGCTGCCGAAAGAACCGCGCCATTACGGAGAAAACTGGGTGGGTATAGAGCATTGAGCGCGGATGCACGCCACGATTACTCCTCGCAGTTTAGTGCGCGCCATGTTCAAGATAGCGACAAAAAGAATCTCCAGAAACCGACGGCCCTCTTAAACCTTAAAGCATCCCACACACCCAAATCGTCCCAAAACCCTGACCGAAAGCCCTGAACCAAGACGCTAAAATTTGAAGCCTAAACCCCACGAGACAAAATATTTAGAGTGCTGCTGCATTGGCAAGCCTCCTTGGGACCGGTTGGAGGATGACGACCGGAGCTTCGTCCTTCATGGTGTGGCGACAGCTAGCACTTAAAAATGTGCTTGATTTCTGCTGGTTGCTAATCGGTCACCGAATCAGTTATTCGGTACAGCGCCTACCAACAGGCAATTGGCCATTCTAGACCGAACACCGTCGGGACCCAAGCTTTGTCGAGTACTGATGCCTGAGGCTTAACGCGTGAAAATTTCAACTTCGATGACACGACGGGAAGCCTCAGTCCTAGACCGGGACAGAACTCCAGCGACTCGTCCAAAGTGTGTGGTTGGTTTGGCGTTTCATGTTTGGGTATTTGACGCTGTCGGTTTGGGGTCCTGACCTTGGGATTTGTGGTTTGGGCGGCAGGGCCCGGCCTTCAAAGCCAAGCAGTTGTTTGAAATCAGGCTTTGGGGTTTATGAGGGCGCTGTAGGTTTGGACATGAGGGTGAGGAGAAGGGATTTAGGGGACAGCCTTGTCTGGATGTGGGCTTTGCGCCGCCGACGACGGCAAGCCTGCGACGGGACTGAAAAGCCAAGCAGCAAGCACAGCTCATCACAAACAGCACATAAAACTGGTACGAATGGGGTCCTGTCCCAACCTAGGCACAGGGCAATGGATGTTCCACCCGGCTTCCCAAACCCAGAAACCGTGAATGGCGAAGAGGCAACAAACAGAGCGAGCGAGAGCGACAGAAAAAGAGAGAGAGAGAGAGAGACAAAGCGTGCGAGAGAAACGGGTGCAACATAGATATGTGAATACGTATCTTTCTCTCCCTCTCTATATTGTATATATAGATATATATATATATATACATTATACGTATAGAGACAGAGAGAGAGAGAGAGAGAGAGATATATATATAGAGAGAGAGAGAGAAAATAACAAGAGACGAAGTGATGGAGGGAGGCAAGGCAGGGAGGGAGGGAAGGAGGGAGGGAGGGAGACAGGCAGGCAGGACGGTAAGGAGGGAGGGAGGGAGGGAGGGAGGGAGGGAGGGAGGAGGGAGGGCACCAGAACGACAAAGAACATATACGAGACTCCAACACACCGTCACAACTCACACCAGGCATGCAAAGATGGGGAACTACACAAGTGCTGCAGCCTGTGCAACGAAAACCAGCCGCAGCTCCGCTTCTGAACGTCTCCGACCCCGAAGTCAAAACCCCCATGATATCCGCAAACTTCCCCGGTTTGAAGTCTGATCTACACCCCGACCGCCAACCTTACGACCTAAAACCTGACAGAGCGTAAGATCGTGAATCTCAATGCTCTCAAAAAGCCCTACAGCTCCAACCCCAAGCACTCGAACAGCTAAACAAAAACATAACACCCCAGCCACGAAACTCCTTGCAACCCCCTGACCAAGACAACATTACACTCCTCAATGATTTCTCATTTTCTGAACACTATACGATGATCACCATAACGAACCGCACTGACTAGTACTATCACAAGCCCTAGGTGACCCACATCAAAAACTGCCACGGCCTGGAAGGCTCTCGGTGGTCTCTGCCTGCCGGCCGGCTTCTAGGGCTTCGGGGGTTGAGATTTGAAGGCTTTGAGGTCATATCTTGCGGTTGAGGTTTCCGAGTTTCGGGTATTGCAAGTTTCTGGGCTTGGAGATAGTGTTCTGGGTCCTTGTTGAGGAACCGATAATGAGGAAGGAATACTATGCACTATGTTAAAGACCCAAGCGACTGCCGTGCTGAGTAGGTCCCCCGAGCTGCTCTGCCATAGGGTGCCATGTGGCGGCTTGTGATGCAGCGTCACTCGTGGCAGCTGCGATTCGCGCCGCCGGCGATGCTCGTGCGCCCAGAAGGACTGTTGCTGCAGTTGCTGCCGCGCAGTGTCAGCTGTGTTGCGACCATCAGGCACTGCAGTGGCCAACCAGCGGCGTGAGTCCTGGGTGCCGCTCCTGCTGGCGTCTCCGTCGGTGGTGATGAGGAAGGAGCACGGCACGAGGCCATTTGGGCCAAGCGTCGTCGCAAGCGCCGACAAAAGAGAGAAGCCAAGGCAGCGGTTGCATCTGGCATGGACACGACGGCGCTGACTGACATTACACAGGCTGGCGGCTTGGGACGCTGCGCCATCTGCTGGTGAGGTCTCGACCCCCAGGAGGAGCACCGCGTCAGACAGTTTCGAGAAGCCACACAGGACTTACGCCCCGGTGCAAGAGACACTGCGGTGACCCGCCTGAGGCTGCCGGCGAAGTGGAGGTGCACCACCGTTTGAGCGAGCTCAGTGTTGTTAGCGGTGCCACAGACTGGACGGTTTACACCCACTCAGAAGGAGGAACTCCGAGACCTGCGGGCAGGAGTGGCCAGTACGGTCGGGCTGAGTTTGAGAACAAGGACGAAAATCAGCTGCCGGCTGGAGTGCTCACGCTTCTTATCAACCCTTGCAGTGAGCGGTGCCTGAGTAGCTTGGCTCAGGCTGCATGCTTGCGCTGGCCGCAATAGGTGGGCTGTCAGGCGAATTCGTTTGGGAGGCGATTGGGCTTCGCGCTCGGCCTCTGTCATGTTGGGAGGTCCGCAAAGAGGCACCTTATTTCGGGGGCGGAGAGCTACCTCACAAGCGTGGGGAGGCCACCGTCCGACAAAACAGCAACAACAACAACAACAACACCAACACCAACACCAACACCAACACCAACACCAACACCAACACCAACACCAACACCAACACCAACACCAACACCAACACCAACACCGACACCACCAACAACAACAACAACAACAACAACAACAACAACAACAACAACAACAACAACAAACAACACCAACACCAACACCA